GGGGCGGAGGCTATTTGGGAGGGGTATGAAACAAAACTTTAAGTTTGGGGGGGTTTAATACATTTTGTAGGAAAAAAAGGGGGGGGGGACGAAACCAAATACATCACATAGAAGTTTAATGGTTTAAGTAATTATTAATGTATACTGTCAGCAATAATTTCAATCGATTCAGTCACTTTCATCGCTGTCAGAATGTAATGTCTCACTCTGCGAAGTACTAGCTGTCACTTTATTATAAACATTGACACAACATTGGAAGAGTGTTCTCTGATTTTTGGATGAGGCAAGCTTTTCTTTTCTCATGACATTGATCTCTCTAGATTTTGTAAGTTTTGATTCCATTTGTTTGGCCAAGCTGTTAACAAAGTTCAGGGCATCTGTTGCAAAGTAATCTTCTTTAATCAGGTAAGACATTGCTTCGTAATGAAATCTGGCAACCAACTGGCAGTTTTGGTCAATATCTTCAAGACTTATTGAAATTCCTTCCCTTTCTTTCAGCATAGCTTGGGTAAATTTTCCATCTGTTAACAATTTTAGCATTTCGTCTACCTTGGCAATAAACCTCTTTTCCTTCTCTTTAGCTGATTTTTGTGCATTTTTTCTCACAGCTCTTTTCTTGCGTTTCGCTTTAGCAGTTTCTTCTACCGAGGCATTGGTCCTTCTATTTAAAAGATTGGTATTTGTAATTATTTTAAAAAAGTGTGTGTTTTTTGCAAAGAGTTTTTAAGTTCTTCCAACAATGTTATCTTTGAATCATAAAACCTCAGTTCATTTGCACGCCATGGCTATATATTCATGTCCTTATCAAACAGATTAGACCGTAGTTTTATAATTTCTTGCTTTTTCTTCAAAACTTCATCCAGTAGCATTTGAACAACTCTCTGTGAAGACTCTGCTTTGAAGAGGTCCCCTGGCTTTATTTTATTGATGGTTTCTGCTGAACTGTAGATGATTTTCAGCCAAGAAAACAAGTGAAAGACCATCTACAAACGCTCTCTACAGATGAAGAAATTGAAGAGTTTAGCAAAAAATACATTGTTGACAGAACATTGCTGAAAAAGTATCTTGATCATTTGAAAGTGTTAGAGATTAACAGAAGCAAAAGAGCTGAAAAACGGGAAATTGAAAAAGGACAACAAAATAAGAAAACATTTAAAGACTATAAATGGCCTGTACTTTTAAAAGATGGTTTGGTCAAGAAACTGAAAGTGACAGAATTAGATAAATATCTCAACCACTTTGGTCTTTGCAAATCACTTCATCTTAAGAAAACAGAGAAAGTCAAGTAAATTTCTGCTCACATAGCCTCGACGATGCTAAATCAACTTTTTGTACCTGCCCAGGACAAACTTACTGTTGATTCAGACACCTCTGATGAAGAGCTGGAAAGTGAAAACAGTGACAATGACCTGGTATTTGGTGATACAGCCGACATGTGCATGGAATCATCCACTGATGACATGGAAAGTGATGAAAGTGACAATGATGATGACGAAAATGTTGAAGAAATCTTTAGCAAAACCAGGAGTGGCAGGATTACTACCAACTGGAAAGCAAGCAAATATGTAAGTACAGTAATATGTAGGAAAAAATAAACAATGTTTAATTTTTTTTAAATTTAATCTGTGTATTTGTCTATTGCGTTGAATGGAATATATTTCTTTTTTCAAAATACATTTACCCTACAATAAATGGATTGCCAACTACAAAGTTTTCATATCTGAAACTTGCCTAATTGATATATACTTTTAGTATAAACTGCCCGGCAATATGCTTTTATGATATTTTCAATACAATTTAAACTTCTAGGTGAATAATCCTCTTCTAATTTTCTAACCAAACAGGTATAGGAAAAGAAAAACGAAAGCCGAACATGCAAGTATATATACAGGACTTAGTAATGTGTAGTATAAATATAGCTAGTAATATAAAGTATATGTGTAGTAATGAAAGGTAAAACCATCTTAATATGTATAGGTTATTTTGAGGTTATATCCCCGAGGTGCCTCAAAATAACGTACTTATTTTTCACACTGCGAGGTCGCGTTAATGAGTCAGAAAAGAAATAATTCTTAATGCCATATTGCCTTCGCGATGTTGTTTTTTCTCATTTTTTGTGCTGCAAAGACATTGCAGGTGA